CTGAACAGTATTATTCTCCGATAAAGTCTTGGTGATTAAAGTAACGAACAACTGAAAAATATGAGTACACAAAATATTTAGTATCGGCAAAAACATTTATAGGATATTTACTTAAGACAATAATAATCATAGTTGCTTTTTAATGAAACATATCTAACGAATCGCTATTCAAATAAGTATATTAAAATAGATTGCATTTTAAATTTGGATAATTTATGTTTAGAGAGGCCTTGCTTCAATAGTTACTAGGGAAAATTATGTGTATGTTTACACAGTAGGAACTAATCTCATTCAAAATACTACTAAGAATTTTATTTTGACATAACTTAGATGTCACAATCTCCAAGAGCTGGTGTTACAGCATTACATTTTACTACGCTAAAATTCTGTAAATATTACTTAGCCCACCTGTTTAACGAAAACGTTCAATAATTAGTGGCTATTATAATTGGTACTTGAGAATTAACACACTTAAATTGAAGGAAATACTCCATTTTATAGTAACTATTAGAAATTAGTGAAATTTAAATAAAATGATGGATTTATTATTTTATGCATAAATGTCCCCCAAGAATACACGTGAACGACGATTCTCACAGCTAGTCAAAAATGTGTGATTGGTATATATCAGAGTCATTCAACAACAATTTAAACGCATTTCACTCTATTCATGAGAGTTTTACTATCAATAAAGGACAACTATTGTTATATATAACTCATTTACATTATTTATTATATTACCCCGAAATTCAAAACTGACCAAACGAGTGGCAATTATGGGTGATAAGACATGAATAAATCAGACTCTATGGTGATCTTACAAGGAGTATACCAGTAAATGATCATGATACTAAGGAACTTCGGATATATGAACCTACCCGAATTACTCAACGTGTGAGTAGGCTCTATGTTCATTTCAACCATTTTTTTAATTAGAAAACATCTATACTTTTATATTATGAAATTGCTTTTTTGATATATTTTGTTAAATGATAACGTCAGATTTAATGTAATGTTTGCATTGTTAGCTTGAATACTAGATTTAAACAACGCCACACATAGGTTTACTCCAGAAGATTAAGAAAACTTTAAAATTTGTCTGTGATAATTTGAAAATATGCAGTAAATTAACTTCATTTTTCAGAGCTATAAAACTGCTCAAATGTGGAAAAATCGTATTTGAAGCCACAAGGTGGAGTTCCCTACCACAGCCAAAACATATGAAGACTTATTGTACACTACATTAGGGCTACTAACATTTCAGGTTTAAATAGTAAACTAGAATAATCAATCAATCCGAAGAAGGACCTGAGTATGATGAAATACAAACTTATCTTTAAAATCATTAAAACTTGATGTTCACTTTGCTAAATAAAAATGTGCGCAAACCAAAGGTTTTCAACTAGTTTGTCTACTGTTGGATTTTCAAAATCCGGCCACGTCTAATATTTAGACGTCATGTCCTTTGCTGGCCTATTTGCTTTCTACTGAGGTTTGTGTTAACTCTTAAAACTTTGAAGGCCTTACGACTTTCAATATCCATCATTTACTCTTTTCTACTGCTTGTTATTACAGGTTATATTTACGCAGAAATGCGGTTTGTTCCATGATACAAAAATCGAAAGATGCACTTACTAGCTAAGCTATTTTGTGTTAAAACCATTAAGTTTATTCTTAATATGGAATGATTTTTACTGGATTTATAAAATAAACAGAATCACATACATTTCAGATCAGATGAATACGACGTTATGACCTTCGAAATCTGATATATAATTTCGTTGAAGTAGTAGAAACAAATGCAGTGACTGAAAAGCAAATCACAAACTATGAATTATATCAGAAAGCAAACAAACCACACAATCCTCTAAACGTAATCGATCGTGAATTAGAATTTTTCAATGAAGGATGTCCAATGCTACTAGACTTAAGTGTTGGAGGTTGAGTTATAAAGCCTAGAGTTGGTCAACTATAGACTGTTTACAGAAAATAATAACTTCAATAATCAGATTTGATCATAAATGCAAACCAATTTAGAACATTGTGCTGTAGCTTTAAGGCCTTTAGATAAATGTGATTATTGACGAAATATTTATCACCACAGCTTTTTATTAATTTTATTTTTCTAACAAAAGGATAGATAAAAAACAATACGATATAATGTCGAAGCGAGCTATGCTAGAAACAAGTCCACATATAGGTAGAGAGATGATATGATATGAACACTATATGAGCTTTATGTCGATATTCCATTCCAAATAATTATGTACTGTGACGTTTAGAACGGTGTCATGAACTTTTACATAGTTGGTTGTCAATTAGTGTTGCCACCAAGAATTTCAGACAACCAAATAATGATGGAAGAAATTCATATAAAGCATCTTGTAAAATACTATGCAAAACATTTCATAAACTCAGGTTAATTGGTGTACTTCCTAATTACTGAATGTCTGCATTATATAGTTTACAGAAAAACTTATAAAAATCGAGTTAAAAAGTAAGTACTTTCCACACAGTTGAAAAATTATTGCTGAAAAGAGAGAATTTTAGGAATGGTAAATGGAATTTAAAGCAACGTTCATTTTTCACTCATAACCTAGTAGTATGTTCTGGGTGGAAATTAAAAATAACTTACCAACTAATGTCAAAAAGTCATTACATTTAGATGAGTTTATTCTCAAGTAGGTCAACCTCGCTTTGCAAGCAAAATGAAGAATAAAACTACATCTAAAAATAAATATATGCCTGGATACTCTACTGAGAGCGTTTTAGAATCACAATATTTTTTTGCAACTTAATGGACAAAATAGCACCCAGTGTGTATCACTTTTGAAATTTGTTATATTCAAGTAATTATTTGTCTTAACTGTTGAGATGACTGAAATAAAATAATATAAGCTACAAAAAAACACTACAGTGTCAAAATAATTCATAAGACTACTGATAACACATTATTTTCTGCTACATCGTCCACGAAATAAAACACAAATGTGAAGTATTAAAAATAAATAGTCACAAGGTCCAATAGAAACTAAACAGGAAAATAAGATTTGTGGTACAACACATTTTTATTGAGACTATAATTGATTGACAACCTTTGAATGACACCAGAATGACCATGCCCGAAACCAGTGTGCAGAAATATAATTTAGATTAAGAGTTAGTGGCTAAAATTGGGAGCCATATTAGGAGTTTTAATCACGAGCTGACATAAGCTATATACCCAAAACTCCTTGAAGCAAAATGTGTGAGTGCGTGATCTTATACGTGGTTGGTTCGGCATTAAATTATGATCTCGCCATTTCTTCGCAAAGATACATTGAAACAAAACTTTCAAAAACAAGAACGTTAACCGGTTGAATATGTAAACCTAAATTGCTATATCTGAGTATTTGGAATGCTCCATGTTTTCTTATATGAGAACACAGCTGGATATGCATACTTTTAAACATCACTTACCTCCTATAACGATACCAGCGATCGCGGATGAAGACAAATTAGCTCCAGAGTTTTCTTTCATGTATTCAGAATAAGCAGAAACATATTCTTTCTTTGGCATAAGCCTGATGATATTATCATCCATCCTGTGACAACCCTAAACTCATATCACGCTCTATTTAGGGCAAAAATAAATCCTTGAGAGATTATTCATTTAAACAATACATTTCTCGCATGATCTGTCTTTTATCTTTCTGAAATGATGAACCACCTTCAATTTATATTTGCTGATGAAACTGAATATACTGTGTAGTAAACAAATTCCTCTATTCACTACCTACAACGTTGTATTGACGAATCTCCAGTATTTATAAGTGAGAAGCACGTAGGTTGCATCGATTGCAAATATTTTTTTGAGATTCGTTTAATTGCTCTGTTTTTTAGATGTAATAAGTCAAATATGGTCCATTCGGAGTTCGACAAAGCCTTTACCACTTACAGCTTTATAATCGAAGTTTGTCAACCTAGACAAATCATAAGTCAGAAGTGAAGATGTTCGTAGTTATGTCTGAAAAACTATCGATAAGTAGATAGACGTTTGGTCTGGACAAGCCAAAGTATGCAAGATATGCGTAGCCGGAGTACGCACTCATGATCAGGTACATATGCATGACTGAGCACCGTCAGCTAGGGTGAGTCCGGCAAAATCTACGAGGACAGCAACATTGTTTATAGCTTACAGACCTTTCACTTAACGAACTTCGAGAATCAGTATATTAAAGATGCATACAGGTGAGAAGATATGTATATTTAACAACAGAAGGAAAAGTATTGGCAAATTACAGTGATGTATTGTCCTGAGTCCCTAATAATGTATAAAGCTTTCTCATGTTGACTTCTGTGACGTCTCTTAGACCACCTCAGCTGGCAGCGAATTTAAAGGGTAAAAAGAGTGCCCACAATTTTAAAAACATGTAGTATCTTCAATTTCCGTGTATTACGTTTAGTGCTATGAAAGTGTGTTCCTCCCTGAAACCTCTCTATCGAGTTGAAATTATGTTACGGAAATTAAGTACCCTTTTTTACTATCGTAAATCTGGAACTGTGGAACTCTAAGGGTGTCAAGAGGAATGCTACTGGCCGATAAGTTGAAACTTCACTGTGTCGCCTTTTTTCAATATGTAATATGAACCAGCTCTCAATGTTTTGGAACAGCGCTGGATGATTTGACTGGGGCCCGGTTTGATTTCACTGGCCTTACGAATATTTAAAGTAAAATATTCATAATAGTTGTATAAAACCGAATATAAGATGCATCATCAATGCTACCTCTAGGTTCGTAAGGCTTTAGGACTTCTGGGAGAGCCATCTAAATATACCAAACTTATCCACAAACCATCTTGAAAATATATTACAGCCTAAAATCCTTATTTGTATATTTTTTGAAGCACACTCAATATATGAAACATAAATCACATCTATCACGCTAGGTGAGGTCTTATATCCTCTAGGGTCTATCTACACTTTTTTTTGTTTTATAACACGTATTGTTTAATCGAACTGAAATAAAATGTTTACTATGAGAACATACGATAGCTTTTCAAATTTAGGGATGTAATTTCTTGCTTTAACAGATTCTGTCTTCAGTTAACCAACCACTTTAATTTACGACTTCGTCCTTGTTTTTATTATGTTCGTAGCTTTATTCAACAGACGTAAGTGCGTCTTATGGTACTTATTGATTTATCCCAATCTGTGCGAATTTTTTAGGGTTTTCCGTAAACCTGAGGGAAAACCTCAACATTTTGGAGATTGTCCCACATTTTAGATACTTCCTAATCCTGGGGAAATGTCGATTTTCTGTGACATTTTCGGAAATTTTCTCCAAAGTTTTATTAATTACAACAATCACAGTGGGCTCCACACTTTCAAACAAAAAAACGTATACGACCAGACATAAAACTTCACATGACTCAGTTTAGTCCAGATATTTACCCATAAGTCATTTTTAGCCATATGAAAAACGTTCATATATATGTACGTTGTTCATTTCATAAACTAATTTACGAAAAGCGTCTCTGTGTAAGAGGGTTTAAATAATAAAAATTTCACTGTTTAGTTTCGTTTTTCCACCCTTGAAGAAAACGTTTGCTAGGTAAATGCCCATTTCAATTGTATTATACCAACTATCGAGAACGATCTTAGGTTTATTTACTAGAATCCCTCTCTCTCTTTATATATATATATATATATATATATATATATATATATATATATATATATATATATATATATATATATATATATATGTATATATATATATATATATATATATATATATACTTTAAATGAACATTAACCCATAGTTTTGAGTCGTGTTATGATGTAATGCCTAAGAGGTTTTTCAATGCGCTTTGTAAGTCTTTAAGTTCATTTTAAACCATTTTGGTGATAATATCTGTCATTTTTGGCCTATTCTTCAAAATAAAACGAATTTATGCATGTACACCTGTTAAACTGACTCAATTTTAAGTAGCTCACCTAACGAGCCAGTCGCCCATGTTTATTGAGCTTCGCGGTAGCCTACAGTTTTTTACCAGCATTTTTGCTTAGTACTCCTTCACTCTTCAGGAAATTAATTATATAATGGTCCCTTAAAAAGCTGCCTATTTCCACTGTAGTAGTGTTTATGTGAGAAACATGTTTTTCTGTTATTCATGATTAACCAGTTTGATATGATTTTATGCATATATAAATGACTTCTCAAGTAGATGAGTGCCTGATCACTACTTGGGTCAAGAGTAGCCAAAACGTTGTGATAATTCTCGGAGCATTAGTACTATTTATTCAGTTTAATGAAATCAGAAATAAGAAAATTGGTGAACACTGAGAATATCAAAACGATAACAGTGCTTAAATATAAGTTAATTGTGTTACTTATATGTTTTAGCGGCACAATGTGTAGTTATTTGACCTTTTGGAGTAACTTGACTTACTGACTACTCTTTGTCTAATCGCTTATACGAAAATCATAAGAATTTCAGTATAATCAATTGACTGCTATGATAAGCCTAGTCAAGTAATTCAAGAGGTCAACAAAAATAGAAAAATAAAAATTGAGCCTTTTCTTTAGATCTTAGTGGGATTGTTAGACAGGTTCGAATTTCACAGAATTGTCAGTATCCACTTACAAACTGTCAAATGTTAGAAGGCGTTGCAAAATATCCTATATTATCAGTTTTAACATTAAGTAAAACGTCATCTTTCATTCCAACTAAAATTATACTGCATGATACTTACAGTTTCTTCAATAATCAATTCAGTATCTAATTTCCTGGCTTCAATAGGTAAAACATTCAAACAAATCTGTCAAGTAGGACGAAAAACATCATTTTTTATGACATGTTAATCCTCAGAAGCCTTAAGGAACTCCAAACACTTTAGCATTATTAAATTGTCGATTCATATCATAAATTAACTGGAAGTTTCATTTCATTTTATTGAATAAAAAATTATCAAACATTGTTTATGGAAACAATGTTGTATGAAGATTACTTTTGGTTGAAGTGTTTAGAAAACCGTTTGATATCTGCAAAGTTCTTTGGTTTACTCCCTATCTGTTATTAAATAGGTTTCAAGAAGTAGAATGACTGGAAATTTTTAAGCTTTTTATCTCAGTATAGGCAAGTAACTAGAAGAGTTAAGAAGTACAGAACGTTTACGAAGTCAAATTGGTAATAGCATAAACACCGCTACTTGACTTCTAAGTCTACTGTATCTTTAAGCGTTTTGGTATGTGCTACTAAAGGAATAACAATGCCATAGTCTGCTTAGAGGAGATGACTAATGAAGGATAGGTTATGTGCTTTGTTTGCTTGATTTTAGAAATCATATGAGGTTGATGAATTTTTTGACTTTTAATATCTAAGGAAGTTGAAGAATCAGAGTTGAACCATTTTTATGAGGTATTTTTGTAATTTTTGGAGTAAACATTCAGATTGTTTACTGGATTACATTCAATCTGTGCTCTTTAAGTCACAGGAGTTATCGATACCCTCTCATTATTTGTCAATGTAGGGTTTTGTGTTGGCTGTACACTGATACTAGTAGAATGAACCGTGTCTGATCACGAATACTTGCGAAAATTTGGAAATTTTTCCCCAAAGTAACTCACGTATCTTCTATCATGTAGTAGATAAGATTTTCTGTAACCCCAGAGTTATTTGTTTTATCAGAGCACCCAGTAACATATACTGTCTAAAAGAATAAAGGTGATTATGAGATGGAATTTTATGTAAGCAAAAATAATTCCTAGAGTGCTCAAAATAAAATAGGGCTGCTTAACTCTTAGTGATTGCAAATGGCTGTTATATAAAACAGAATTAGTATGTATACAAAACAAACTGTTCTATTACTTATCGATTTGGATTTTATTTGTCAAATTATACTTTATTTCTGTTTGATATGCCCATACTATCAAAACATCTGGAGTATTCATTTCTTTTAAAACTTAGAACTTGAAATAAACTATAAATCATGAAAAACTCAAACGAAAAAGTAAATCCAGTTGAAAATACTTTGCGTAATAAGGTTAGTTACTTATTTATTTATTTATTTATTGTAACATGACTGAAAACCTGTTCAATTAGAGTGCTAGAGGTCGTTCTAAAAGTCGAAGCGGACGTAAATCAGAATCGTCACTTGGAAAATCAGCGGAAAAAAGTGGCAGCAAACATTCTGATGCAGTGGATGGGTCATCATTGGCATCAATCATAGAAAGTCACAAACCATTAGATATATTCATTCAAAATGAACTAATGCCTAATTGCACACCGATATTTTTATCAAAATCAACACAACAGATATTTAATATTGTAACTGATGAACAAATTACCAAAGAATCACCAATCATTTTATTGAACAAATCTGATATACTTAAAGATTTACAGTTACGTGCAGCTGTATCAGATTTCAGTGTACAAAAAGTTGCAATAAAAAAGTATCCCGGTTCTGATATTTTGTTAATTTACGATGCAGATTATAAATTTGGTGAAAACTTTGTCATTGTCTTATCTGAAGAGACAAAATCTCTTATACTGAATCCAGTTAAACAAGCAGTTGACGGTCAGTCAGAACATGATGGTGATGGTGATGAGAATGATGGAAGAAACGATGATGAGGACAAGATAGAAGAATACAAAGAGGCCAGTGATTTATGTTTTCTATTCAAATCGAGATCAGAACATGGTTGGATTGAATTAGGTTCAGAAAACGAAATTGCCGAAATGAATACTTTTGAAACACGTTCAAAAGTACATACAATTTTTCAAAGACCACGTAAAGAATTTGGTAGTGTATTACATTTACAAGATGAAAGTGCGACAAAGAAAGGTTGTTCTGAACATATTTTATCACGTGAAGATGAATCATTTAATATACCTATAATGGAGTTAGATAAATCAGTCACAAATTGTGAAACCACATGTGATAAAGGTATTAATACAAATTGGAAATATCCAAAAAATGCTTTCACTCATTATGTTCCTAGAATGTTTACGTCTGATGAATTGAAACATTATTATCATGAAAATAATGATGCTTTACGTAATATATCGAAATTATACACACTATTTGAACAAAGTTTATTAGAAAATGAAATGTACAATTTTTTATCAAATGATTATGAGAATTTACCCATTGGTGATGAAACTTATGATACAAGAAGTGACAATACATTCAAAGAATTTCTATCATTTACTGATTTAAAATTTAGTAAAAATAAAGCTATTACAATGATTCAATGGCATCCAAATATTAAAGGTATTATTGCAACATCTATTAGTGAACGGATAATTTATGATCAACGTATTGATCAAGCATCACGAATTCTTTTACAACCAACACATATTATATTATGGAGTTTTAATGATCCATTAAAGCCTCAATTATTATTACATGCACCAGATGATATTATGTGTTTTCAATTTAATCCAACTAGTCCGAATTATATAGCTGGTGGTTGTATCAATGGACAAGTAGTTCTGTGGGATATTGAAAAACATATTGACGATTTAACTAATGTTAAGTTGCGATTGAAACAAAATAATCAAATGCCTTTATTTGTTTTTGATGAGAATGAATTAAATAAAGTATCAACATCACATTATTCTGCTTTAAGTAATATTGAATCATCACATAGTTCACCAATCATGGATTTGAAATGGATACCGGATCATATAGAAATTAATCGGTTAGGATACTGTTTTGAAAATCATGCACAGAAATGTGTTCAATTAATGACATGCGGTTTAAATGGTGAAATATTACTATGGGATATACGGCCAGAGAAAACACCATTAGCTATAAACAAAACAAGTGATTCAATTAAACCACCAAATAATGTACCACTAATATTTTCGACACTGGATTTGAAATGGAAACCATTATTAAGAATACATTTATATACAAACGATCCAGTTAATGACCATGTACCAATTAAGTTTTGTATACGTGTAGGTTGCATTTTATTATTTTACTTTATTATTATTGTATAGTTTTCCTTAAGTTATACATATCTCCAATAAATACCAAGATGTAGTTCTCTTGATTAAGGTGATCAATGGCTAGAGACGTTGTTTGATATGGTTCTTAACAGGTCGCAACAGCACAGATGCATTCAAACTTTGTCCCTCCTTAGGTCGTGATATGGGAAAATATTTTATATCTTATTCTGAGAATAAATTCTTTTTTGAACCATATCTTTGAAGTTTAATCTTCTTTTTGCCATTTCTGATACTGATAATACGTTTACTACTCAAATATTCATCCCAATAATTTAGTCTCGTTGTGCTGATAATAAACATTTCTATTTTTCAGTATTAAACTTATATATAGACTTGTACGTATCTTTTAAATGTATGTGTTCATCAATATTTAAATACTTTATGTTCTCCATCCCCTTCTTTATTGTTTTATGTCAGTTTACATTATCCATTAGAACATTCTAGCTCTAGAATTGATTTCATTTATTTCACGAATAATATACATTTTGATAGAAATTTTTAAGGACCTAATGTGCTAATTTCTTGTTTGAAGGAAATGCAGGGAGATCGCAGATTGCTAACGTCTAACACAAAAGATTCCAGTATCAATATAACTGACAACTCATCTAAATTACTCCCACTTCCAAACGCCGACACACATATTTATGCCGGGACTGAAGATGGTGTTATAGTTTATGTTGACTGGATACCACATAAAGATCAAGACACTGGGAAAATGCAAACACCCAAACCAGAATTTTGTTCGTCACGACATGATGGTCCAATTAGTTACCTTTGTCGTTCACCGTTTGATTCCTCCCTAGTCTTGGCTATTGGTGGATGGATATGGACAATGTGGAAGGAAGGAGTTACCAGTGGGCCGATCATAGAATCTGGTCGTGCAAATAAACCATTAACAGGTTAGTGTATCTAGTGTTTAATTAAGGTTATCATTACAACATCATTTTGTTCGTTGATATGTAGAAGAAATTGCCTCATCTTTTACTGCCACTGTCACCAATAGCAACCACAAGCATCACTGAGTTTCGTCCTGTGTTGCTAAAATCCTATGTTACACAGTCTCTTAAATACAATCCTATAATATCAAATGTAATCACTGTAATTCTTTTTTCAGAGTCTAGAGCAGTAGGGCTTGTGCAAAGTAAATAATGGAATAAACTATTTTCAGTTATAAAGATATTCAACTTTCAAGAGATCTCTTTGCTAAATATCAAGCTTTTTGGTTTAAGATTGTTATCATCTACAGAGAGTGATTCAGAAAATATGCACAAAATCATTAATTCTAAATTGCCAAAATTTATTAAAGTTTTATCCGTTTAACGTATTCTACTCACTGATTTCGTCAAATAGTGTTGATCAACAATAAAAGTCTGGACATAATTGTCAGTCCAAACTATTTGTGATAAATGATATTTTCTTCGTCCTGTAGATAATCGACAGAAAAATTATGAATGAGTTTCGATCTGTTTATACTGGTGATAATCTAGTTTAGCAAAATTCATCACAATGGTAGCATTTTAAATGTCGTTCCAAAATGAACTGACCTAACAGTTCAAAGTGAGAATTTTGTCGCTTAGTCAAAATAATTCAGTACGTTATAAAATCTAAAGTGACTAATTGTAAAAATTCCAAATACTTACAGGAAATAGACGAAAAATTAATTAATTTGATATTCCCGGTTGATATGTTTGGTTTATGGAATATGCAGTGGACGGATCGCTTTGTTTGCTATCTGAATAATATTGTATCAACTATTGTAAAGCGTTTTTCATGGTGTTTTGTTCGCTGAGCTGGATGGTTTGGTCGTGCAGCTATCATCATTGTTCTGAACGACATCATCAGCATATAAATACTGCATTGAATTAATTGGTACATCAAGCTCACAGAAACAATATGATTGAGCTGAATAAAAGTTCAGTGGTTCATACTTCTATCCTTTGTCAATGGGTTTGGATGATGTGTAATCTATCCATATCTTTTCTTCTTTTCAGTTAGACACGTAAAAAGTGTTTACTTTTATTGCAATAATTTACCAATATCATTAAAGCGATACTCTGTATTGTTCATAAATAATTCTTATTCAAGGTGGCAGTTGGTCTCCTACACGTCCATCAGTATTTTATACATGTCGTGTTGATGGTAGTATAGAAGTTTGGGATTTACTTGATAAAACTTATGAACCAACAATGATTCAGTCAATATCTGCTAATCCACTAACTGCTTTATCTATATGGGATTCACCTAAACGTCAATTTATAGCAACTGGTGATATTCAAGGTGTACTACAATTATTTATTGTGAGTTTATTTTAATTAGTAAACTATGTTTTTTCCACTTTAATAAAATATAGAATGCATAATAAAATCTTGATGATTTGAAATTCTATTCTTTTCAACAAAAATATCCCCGATTAGATTAATAGTCATTCAATATTAGTTTCAATCTTTTATTAAGATTTAGTCGTCAGTCAGTCAGTCAGCTATAACGTAGGAAGAGTGTATACACCCACACCATTGTGATCGATTCTGAGCCATGTCATCCAGAGTCTCTGACCATTGGTTACGATAGTCACGCGGACCCCAACCAAGTAGTCTGCATCTATCAACATGGCTCTGCATTTTATTAGCATCTTCACTAAATAGGACTATATCATCTGAGTATTCAAAGTAAATGGCGAAAAAATTATAAATTTATGGATTACTTTTTATTACTACTAATAAGTTATTACATTAGCAACACTATTAAGTAATTTTATAGTTAGCCATTTGATCAAAACATATTATCAGAAGGGGGTTTTGTGGAGATCTTAGAAATCTCACTGGTTGAAATCATGAGTCAATTGAAGCTAGACCACCACGGGAGACCAAGAAGCACTGGACGGCCGTTTCGTCTTAAGTATGGGACACCTTAGCAATGCTCATCCACGATCCCGCACCCCGCGAGATTCGGACCCAGGACCTATCAGTCTTGCGCCAGGCGCTTAACCAACTAGACCACTGAGCCGGCATCCAGCGGTGTTAATTTCTAACTTCATCCAACCCACGAAGTTGCGCCACCCTACACCATTGCCATCAGTGAGTTGATATCTCACGACAGACCTGGTTGAACTCAACTGGTAACGGCTTCTCACTAGAACTCGAGGAGTATCTCTTGAAGTCAGTCACTAGTCAGCAGATTAGAAAATTACAAGGAGTTAATAAATTATTAAGTTGTATTAAAAAAACAAGTAATTGAACTGAAATGTAAACATGATATTGGTAGAAAATAGAGAATAATATAATAAACAGTGAAATTTTTAGGGATTAGAAAAATATCTAAATGAGTACACTTCATTTTAAATTTTATTGTCTAATGGTCTTTCAAACACTGAAATATATTGACTAAAATACAAATGATAAAGTTTCTACCTATTTATATGACTTGAACTAATAGTCAAATACTTTATAGGCCATTATTATATTTTCATTCTGTGTTTTTATGTTATTCTTAAAATGACTTGTGAGGTATGTCATAAGATTTACAGTGCCTAAATTTTTTTCATTTTCAATAAATTTGTGAATGTTATTTTATGTTAGACGTTATTAAGTAGTTTATTTTTTATGAATTCTATACCAGATATTTGAGGATAAGCTTAAAATAAGTCTAGTACGGAAGAATGTGTCCAGTGATAGTAATATTAAACATAGACATAGTAATAAAATCTTTTACTATAAGGATAAAGTCAATAAATTTACATAGAGTTGAGCATTCACTAATAGACAACAGAGATTCATTTCAATTTACGTACAAACACTCCAGAAGTATTTTGGATGTTACACCAGTTTTGAATCATAGTAAAGTGTTCAATTTTGAAAATGATAATTATGTTCAATGAACTTTTCTAAATTATACTTTTACCTTTACTTCATTCCATACTTGAAAGGAGAAATAAAAACTCTACAATATGCTATTTAATAAACATATAATGTGACCAAATGTTATAGGAGATAAGCTAACTTAAAACTTTAGCTATTATTGTTGTTATCATTATTATTAGTAGCTTTATTCAATATTATATTTTTGGTACAATATAAAATCTCAGCATAAAGTATTCCAACAACTTTCGTTTTCTTATTTCCTGATTGATTCTTGAGATAAATATTGACTAGTCGCCAGTTAGATGTTAGCAGTTCAGCAATCAACATTTGAATAATGTACATTGTTTTCGACCCATATTGCCAAGAAGTCTCTGATCGAGCTCTTTTGTAACTTGTACAGCGAAATGTCGCAAACTTGTCACAAACGCTTCTGAATAGGTGATGCGACCAATAGGCATAATGATTTGTTAAAACAAACAAGAAAACAGGTAACTTGTTGAAATATCCTGATGGTATGAACATATTGTTATGGTTTTATGTCCGGCTTTTTATCACGTGATTTATCCACCAATGAAAATATGATTTATACAATCTTAACACTATGCCAAACCAATGACGTTCAACCAGTATGAGCAGTCTAGCGTCCTTATTGGTCCTATGTCCTCCTAGCCCGTCTGCTTTAGTCCAGAACACAATACCAGGTTCTGCAATATAAATCGAATGGAATCGGATCGAATCATTTATTTTAAACATACTCGGTTTATATATCAACCAGACAGACCACAACGTACCATAAAATTGAAAATAACATGTGTACACAAATAAGCCAAAAAGTGGCTGGGAACGCGGGGGACGGTAATTAATAAACTGAGTATAATTTAAGAACAGTAAATCGTACAATAATAATATATAAATCAAAATGAAACTTATAATAAGAGGAATATGGATATACATAATCTAATTACTGAATAATTACACCATAAGATTATACAGGTAATATTAGTCAATTAATGTCTCAGGAGTTACTCGTGGTTTAATCTTCGCTCGGATATAACACAGATAGCCCAGATATTCAAACAGGCAGCCTGTAGTGCTTTATATAATAATAAATCCCTCGTACATAAATACGCTCTTGATTCATATATTTTAACACATTACATTCACATGTTCACAGTTTTTTCTAGTCTTCAAGCTCTGGTTCATACTTAGCTACTAGGGTGCGATTGCGTAGAGGTGGAAGTTTTGCTGCATTAAATAGACACAATATTATTACTTCTTCCAGATATATGACTACTACACATATATATTCTGCAGTGTAAATAAATAATAGGAAAAAACTTACTAAAATACTTAACGCTGAGAATTTCCTGCTGTACTAAACATGAATTACTGAACAAAGCGATTACTATTTTCGTTAAATATCTTTATTGATATAAACATTATACTGATTATAGGTACCTAGACGTTTACAAACTCCTTTACCATCAGAATTAAAAAAATTCAATGAATACATTGAACGTGAAGTGAAAAGAAAAGAGTTTGTTTCGATGCGTTGGAATTTAAGAGAGCAAGAGAAAATTGAACAAGAAGCGGAAAACAAAAGAAGGGCTGGTTTAGCACCAGCTGTTATGTTGAGCGACGAAGAAATCATTCAGAAAGAAAAAGTAAGTTAAAAGCATAACTACTGTGTAGTAATTGTGTTTAATTCTAATTAAAATAATTTATTATTTAAGACAAATATTGAGGGCATTTAGAGTTATAACACTTTTCTCAATGCAAAAATATTTATTTAAATGTAAGAAGTGTCTAGACCACTTTGCTTATCCTGAAGGTTTCGTGGCGAGACTATAATTTATGGACGAACCAATCAGATTCAGGATAACAGGTCTAGAATTTTAATGCTATATTCATTCATCTATATGTCTAAATAGCGTTTCGGCATTTTTGCTGATGTCAGTTCGTGATGAAAATCACAATTGTAATTCCTAACTCTCACCATCAATTGTAAATCATAATCATTATCCTTCAAACTGCTTTATAATCCTCATTTAGCCCTAGTAAGTAGGTGGACATTTCCAAGGTCACTTAAGCGTAGCCCAAATGTCGTTTATAAATTATAGTCTCACTGAGTTAATGAAACATTTACTTATCTACCTAAAATTTCTATCTGATAGCTCACTCCATATTTGTCTAAGGCCATGAAACAGCTTATGGAAGCCAGAAATAATGGGAGGTCATAAGTATTTGACCAAAGACGTTTTCAGAACATTGATCGGGTCTGATGAAATTGAAAACTGTAATTGTGCAGATTGTGCAGATTCACTAATGCGAAATGCTTTGACCAAGTACAAAGAACACACGGATTGCTCAAAAACAATACTTCAAAAATCACCTCGTCGAATCTCAAAATGTCATTAGATTTACTCATAGTTGTGGAGCCTGATAAAATAAGGTAAAGTTTCTTAATTAAAGGAGAACTATGGTATCACAGTAAGACTTATCTCAAGAAAACACAAGAAAATCATGGCTGTTTTGATGTTTACTGTGTATTAAGTTAATCTAAATTTTAGTTCAGCTAGATGACTAAAATGAGAAGGGAAAAGTCTTACGTTTTTTATGTCATCCAATACAAGATCAAAAGCCAAAAAGTTTAAAAAGAGAATGAAGAATATTATTACAGATGTTTCTTTTAAAGAGTTGTCATCATCTACATAACTCTTAAAAACTGGATAGTATCGGACATCCGTTCTCTCCTAATGTCAAACTCTTCAGAAGTGTTCATGCACGACTCCACCAAAGATCGAAATCAAGACCTTCTGGTGTATCAAGCAGTAGACAACTTAAACATTGTCATTTGAATATCGCGTTATCGTTGGAAGTTCTAAAGGTCTTGAGTCCCATATTGGGATCATGAGCTCTTAATGTTTGGAAGTCTCGTACTGGAAAGAAACCAGTGTTTAACACCTTTGTTAACTGCTTCTCAAATCAATCCAATAGGAAAATGATCTTTAACTCAAGACAATATATAAAAACTCAATTAAACTTATTATTTGTCTAATTATTAGAGACTATATTAATTACAGTTAAAATTTATCAGAACCTCATTTTACCTTGACCTTATAGGATTGTTAAGAATCTAATCACTCCGATCTATAGTACGGTATAAACCAAATAGCCAATATTATGTTCAGTCAGTGACGACAATAAGATAACCAAGTTTCAGATATAATCGCATATGATTTTAAAATGTTTTATATTTGATTAGTTTATCGTACATATATTTATAACTCATTCTTTTTTGTGAATATTCTAGTTCGAATATGAAAAGTATTTATCAGAAGAACATACTTTCTTAAGATCATTAGGACTAGTTGAAGAGGATGATTAAGAAGAACATTCGTTTGTATTTTAGAAATTTGCAACCTTTCGAAACAATCTCTTTCACATGAATGTTATTAAATATATCGATTTTAATTAGGTGTACTCTTTTTGACGAGTTGTTTTTTTTCAGGACCGATTGCAGGTTAGTGAGGTCATCTTTTGCATGTAGCTCAATTCTAGCTGTATATTAAACCTATCGTTTTAATTTTTACGAGATCGATATATTACGGAAATTGAATAATAGGAACTCTTACTTTGTACAGTTCTATCTAAATGATAAGCAGAGAGACAAATAGGTTTTTCTGACAGCATTCAGAATTAGTAGTGGAAACATGAACTAACGTATAATCTAAAGGGCTATACTGACTTTATGACTACTTTTTGGGGAAAGACATGGAAAATTTATAAACTCCACTATTTTTCTATGAGTAATTTTATGAATGACTATACAAATTATTATCTACTACTAGGAAGTCTTTTCAGCTTCCTGTGTTATCTCAGTGACAGATAAGTTATGCAGTTTTTCATACCGCTTAGGTAATCAACTAATCTGTAACCTAACCTGACAATCCTTTCGAGTAGTAAGAACTACTTTCTTGCTCACACTATAGTACACTTAACGCTCTGTAATAATGACTTTTGATTTTTTCGATACTTGAATTTATATTCGGTCTTTCGTTTGGTGATAGTGCTGGTGGCAGCCGTGTTACACTCACTACTGAATTGAATGTAATCGTAGATCCAAAATCGGGCTGATTATTTTTCATCTTCGATATACACGTACGTTTTTGCATAAATCAAATTACCGTTCCACACACGAAGGTTAGAGATAACTGAAGAGTCAGAAGCCTGTCTACGTAATGTATGCAATCTGTCAGTTAATAATGGCTGTAGTATTGTGGGGGGTATATATTTTATGCAAGAGTTCCAAACTATGGTGAATATGTGGTGTTCGAATGAACTAATGACTTCTTTGTACTTCTTGAATGCTTGATTTCGAATTCGAAGTACAGTACATTTATTTGTGCTTATCTAGTACTTTTTGATCCGATTGCGTTATTTCCAGGATACCTAGTTTATACTTTAATTCAAATACTCCTGATGATTATTGGATTTACTGTACAATTATGTATTTTATGTTGTGTTTAAATCTGTTTAAACAAAGCAAAACTATCTCAGACTGTGTATTTTTAAATCTAGTTCTTAGTTGTGACTTGTTAGGTTCCATACATACTAATTTCTGAAGTACTTAGTTAACTCATTTCAGATTCATGCAAACTTGTCTGATTTCTATCAGCATTTATTTATTCAACGACAATTTTGTCTACTTTGTGAAATTCATTTCTATTCTTGAATTTACCATTTAGCTTACATTATGTATTGCAATTTTTGTCGCATTTTGTACACAAATCACTACATGTCATAGAATACAAAGTTTGTACTGTGACTCGCCCGGTTAATTATCACGTGATGAGGTCGCCAGTCAGAACACGATCTATAAAACCTGGTTTGGCATTATTCATTTGTATCACATCTTCATCCCTCTTGACGAACAAGAACACCTGTTTAGCTAGAATCTCTTCAGACCTCGATGAAATTTCACCGAACTTCTACTTTTGGACATCACGAAGCGCGCCTTCGTAGACCATGTATGGAGATCTATGCCCATAGGGGGTTGATGTAAGGGCCCCTCAAACTGCTAAACTGTAAGTCTTATTTCAGTAACCTTCAAAGTTAAGGAGTCTCTTGCTCATAATGGCACATGTCATTATCGATTTGAAATACATAAGCACGTTTGGGAGACGGTTACTCCAGGATAATGAATACTTCGATCAAGCTGACGAATAGACGAGTCCCTTAGAGCATCGAATGATTTAATATACATCAGTTTCTGGAAACATGACCTTATTAATCATGCTTGTCTTATCCAACTTTAGAGCGAATATATATCTACTCATCGTTGACTGATTGACTTGCTTTTCTTCAAATTGATGACTATTTTGTGTTTTTCATTATAGGTAGATACAGATGTTCCAGTGTGGTCCACGTGGTTCATTATTAGGAGTTTTGCTTCACTCACTGTGTAAATATAACCTTTCATACCAAGTATTTTCTGAGATATTGCTTTTCCAATAATGTAAATCGTTAGACAGAAGTTTGGTAATACATTAATAGGCTAATATATCTGGAGGACATTGTTCGACTTCAAACGTAGGTGAACAATAACGGACTGGATTTCAACTGCAAATAGTGTGAAATGGTCATTATCCAGGATGTGCAACCTAAACGAACCTCTGTTACAGACATCCTTGACTGATATGTGGTATGTAGATGGAACCATAGTCATATGCGCCATAGGTGAAGATACCAACTTTCCGTTATGAAGTTATGAGGTACACTAATATTAACACGAAAAGAACGATCAGCTCCACCTAGGTATTATAGTTAGTATACTAAATGTTAATTTTGTTGATGTGTTCTGTCTTTAGAATATCTACATCGTCAGGGAAGTTCCAGTCTTTATAGTTACTGCTAGCTTCAATGAGAATGTTGTCTGATAGGATTGTTCTTCGTTGCACGAGAGATAATATTGAAGCGAAGCATATACTCGAACTATCAAATAATATCCACTTTTCCCTAAAAATTTCTAAATCGAAAGAAGTACCATGATTTGTTGATATTATTCTTCCTCTCAAAACCTGTGATCGTGCCAAAATCTCCACACACTCGAATGATCATTGGAATATACTTGTGTGAAAACAAGAGTTTAGACTAGCGATCAGCTGAACTTTTATACAGCTGAACACACCATTAATAAATGATTACATTTACCACTTTACATGAATGTGTAAACACACAGCATTTCAAACACAGATTCATTTGTAATGAAGATGGCACAGGTATTCAGTGTTTGGCAACGATTTTACCAGTAACACCTAATATAACTCGTACCCACCAAGAGAAATCAAAAGACAGAGTCGAGGAGATCGGAAGAGTGTATTTGGCGATTACCAATATATCGGAATTATCTGATCTAATCTGGCCAGCGATTGCGGTATATGTTGAGCACAGCGTTACCACACGTGGTCTGGTGCGGGTGCATGACCGAGCGCCTTCAGCTAGGTGATTCCACTAAAACATATGGTCTGCATCCAATGTCGAAAACTTACAGAGCTATTTATTTTGGGGATTTATTTACCGCTACAGTAAGAAGGATCCTAGTCAAATTAACAGTGCTATACAAAAGTGTTAGGAGATGAACTCTAAAGTTCATTTAAGCCTTAAGCATGAAAATATTTAAGCTCTCTACGTGCGTGATAGATAAGTTTTATGTCACCTTGAAACCGTCTGAAAAATACTGCTTTTTAGTCTAGATGTGTGTGATTCACAGGGTTAAATATCATTTTTGTTTTTCCTTATGTTTCAATTTATTTGATCCTTTAGTCTTCGTTTAACTGCCTTTACACGAAAGTGTAGGACCAGGTTGTCCGAGATGTAGTACGTTTGTAGCGTGGTGTCGTGTCGAGATTGACTATGAACACCGCTCCCAAGAAACACGTGCCAAGTAAATCAGAAGGCGAAGGTTGAACGTTGAACATACCTCGGTAAAATTGAAGCCACTGATGCTCTCATGCCACCATATTCAGAGGCTCGATAATACGAATCTCCATAAAATTCATCCGAAACTATTTGACTTGCATGGATATCGTGAAGCAATCTGAATTGAACTTAAAACATCAAAGTACTGAACATTTGTTTTTTACCAGTAAAGGACTCAGTTGTGCCTGTAACGACCGTGGGCACTGGACTCGAAATCAACAACTGCGGTCAGACGCTTAACCTCTGAACCGTTAGGTTGATATTCGGAGATGCCGTTGTTTTACCTGAATTTATAGTGTTCTAGCGTTGGTAGGTTCGTAGTTTCTATGAAATCGAACAATCTCCACAACCCATAACGAAACCTTCTGATTATTGTTTATTGAAAGTATTAGCGCCTGAACATGTATTTGCGTTACGGCTCGTAGTACAAGTGAGATGGTCCGTGGGGTTTTTGTCTGTGTTGCCGCGGGGGCTGGCATTATTTTTGCAGGGTATTGTTTTTATTTTGACAGAAAAAGACGGAGTCACCCTGATTTTTGGAAAAATCTCAGAAAAAGTGGGTTAATTTTAGTGAATAATATTGGAATAGAGAGGATGGAACAAAAGGCTCTTGAAGCTCAAAAGTCATCCACTTTCCCATTGCCACCTATAAATGATCAGACTGGGATGCAGAGATTTTTTCTTCAACAAATACAACAAGGAGAAACTGCCCTGAGCATGGGCTCTTTAGATGAGGGTGTCAACCATTTTGCTATTGCCGTTGCTGTTTGTGGTCAACCCAATCAGTTACTACAGGTGCTCCAACAGTCACTTAGCCCAACTGTGTTTCTAAGACTTATTGAGGTCCTTCCTTCGGTGCAATCTGTGAGTAGCTTGCTGTGTGTTTTTGGCAACGTTTTCCGCCAGTGTCACAAACGTTTTACTGTTGGTTTTACATGACTATCGAGAGGTTTTTTATTTATTAATAAAAAGCCATTGTATAAGTTGCAGTGCATTTAATCTTTTGTCTGATGCAAAATGAAGCGAAGACGATGTATCCCTCTATCAATAAAAGACAAGTATACTGCGTGGAAGTTCGTTCTGTTCTAGTTTACTATTGGGAAACAGCCATTAAGGGTAGAAGATACTCGTAAGTTACTAGTATTTTAATGACACATATCTTATAAATATTGCTCGCATCTGCTGGGACCACTAGGTTAGTAGTGAGGTTAGATGCAGGCTATTATGGAATGATAGTTAATGTTGTAAATCTTCACCGACTGATGATTGGGCCACTTAGTGCTCATGCCTGAACACCGACTACCACGACGCGCGATACTGTCCAGTGTAAGAGATGGTTAGAAGGAAGTTAAAAGTGGCAAAACCAGAACGTGGCATCAGTCCTTGAAGTCACTAACTTCTGGTCTGAGCCATCTTGGTAGATGCAGACTACATTGCTGGGGTCTGTGCCACAATCGTTACCAATGATTGAAGACTGGGTGACATGGCTCAGAATCTATCACATGGCGTTTGTGTATACACTGTCTTTCCTTATATTATGAAATTGAAATTGCTTTATATCTTTCTACGAACTAATTCTTTCTCCTGTACTATATCATTATATGCATTCTTTCTTTTATATATTACTACCATTCAGTCAGTCAGCCAGCTACAACGTAGGACCAGGCACATATGTGCATCGGTCCAGGTTGCCATACCGCGTCAGCACAACAAGATGAACACCGGATTCATAGCAGTGGTTAGGCCAAAGGTAGTAATATGTAAAAGAAAGATTGCATATAGAGATATAGTACAAGAAAGAATTGGTTTGTAGAAAGAAAGATATGAAGCGATTTTAATCTCTTAGTTTAAAGGAGGACAGGGAGTGTTAACACCGACGCCATTTTGATCGGTTCTGAGCCATGTCACCAAGAGTCTACAACCATTGGTTACGATAGTCACGCGGACCCCAACCAAGTAGTCTGCATCTACCAACATGGCTCAGACTGGAAGTTAGTGACTTCATACGTAACACGTGGCCCAACCATCTCAGTCGATGAAGATTCATAACCTCATCAACTGATTTACCATCATTTCCTAATACCCTGCGTCTAACCTCACTATTACTTACCCTGTGATCTTAGCAGACGCCAGCAATATTTCTAAGGCATCTGTGGTCAAATACTAATAGCTTACGAGTGTCTTCTACTCTTAGTGGCCATGTTTCGCTGCCGTAAATTAAAACAGAACGGACTGCCGCGCAGTATACTCGTCCTTTTATTGATAGACGGATATCTCGCCTTTGCCAAAGGTGACGCAAGTTGGCAAAAGCCAAACGAGCTTTTCGAATCCGTGCTGAGATTTCGTCAGACGCCAACCCATTAGGGCTGATCAGACTTCCAAGGTAAGTGAAGTTGCCGACGCGTTCGACTACTTCACTCCCTATCCTTAGTTCAGGTGTTGAGGCAGACCAGTCCTGAAGCAACAACTTGCATTTAGAGGGAGAGAAGCGCATCCCAAACATTCTGGCATTGTTGCTTAGTGCTACCAGAAGACTCTGCATTTTGTCAGCGTCTTCACCAAACAGGACTATGTCATCTGCGTATTCTAAATCGATAAGTGGACCTCCTGGAAGGAGATCAATACCCGAGAACTCAGTCGACGAGAAAGTTATTTCCGTCAGTAGATCTATGATGAAGTTAAACAAAAATGGAGAAAGTGGACATCCTTGACGGACACCACTTGAGGTTGCAAAAGTAGATGACAGTTCGCCATAAGCTCTGACTCGACTAGTAGTGTTCGAGTAAAGAGCCTTTACAAGGTTTATGTACTTCTGTGGTACGCCTTTCAATGACAGACACTGCCACAGAATCTCGCGGTCTACCGAGTCAAATGCTGCTTTTAAGTCGAGAAAGACCACCATTGTCGGACGCCGATAAGTATGCCTGTGTTCTAGAATCTGACGAATGGTGAATATGTGGTCGATGCAGCCACGACCAGGTCTAAAGCCAGCTTGGTTCTCTCTTGTTTGCAGTTCACGAGTCTTAGTTAGGCCTCTGATAATTATCGAGTCTAGTATTGTAGATATTATATTACTTACTTACGCCTGTTACTCCTCGTGAAGGAGCATAGGCCGCTCACCAGCATTCTCCATCCAACCCTGTCCTGGGCAATCCTTTCTAGCTCCGTTCAGTTGTAATTCATCGTTTTCATATTTGCTTCTATTATCCGACGCAATGTGTTCTTTGGCCTTCCTCTTTTTCGCTTCCCTTCAGGATTCCAAGTTAGGGCTTGTCTCGTGATGCAGTTTGACGATTTGCGTAATGTATGTCCTATCCATTTCCATCGTCTTTTTCTAATTTCTTCTTCAGCTGGAAGTTGGTTTGTTCTCTCCCACAGAAGGCTATTGCTGATGGTATCCGGCCAATGGATGTTGAGTATCTTGCGTAGACAGTTATTTATAAATACTTGTACCTTGTTGATGGTGGTTGTTGTAGTTCTCCAAGTTTCAGCTCCATACAGTAGAACTGCCTTGACGTTCGTATTGAAGATCCTTACTTTGATATTGGTTGAAAGTTGTTTTGAGTTCCATATGTTCTTCAATTGTAGGAAAGCGGCCCGTGCTTTGCCGATCCTCGCCTTTACGTCTGCATCTGATCCTCCTTGTTCATCGATGATGCTTCCTAGGTATGTGAAGGACTCTACATCTTCCAGAGTTTCGCCATCAAGAGTGATTGGATTGCTGTTCTCCGCTTTGAATTTGAGGACCTTAGTTTTCCCTTTGTGTGTGCTGAGGCCTACTGATGCAGAGACTGCTGCTACACTGGCTGTCTTCATCTGCATCTGTTCGTGTGTACGTGATAGGAGGGCTAGGTCATCTGCGAAGTCCAAATCGTCTAATTGATTCTGAGCTGTCCATTGTATTCCGTGTTTTCCTTCAGATGTTGAGGTCTTCATAATCCAGTCGACCACCAGAAGAAAGAGGAAGGGAGAGAGTAAACAGCCTTGTCTGACTCCGATCCTTACTTGGAATGCATCTGTCAGCTGTCCTCCATGCACTACTTTGCACTGTAGTCCGTCGTATGAGTTCCGGATAATATTGACAATCTTCTCAGGAACTCCGTAGTGTCGAAGAAGTTTCCATAATGTCTTCCTATCTACACTGTCGAATGCCTTTTCATAATCAATGAAGTTGATGTATAGTGATGAGTTCCACTCAACTGATTGTTCGACGATGATCCGTAGTGTTGCAATTTGGTCTGTGTACGACCGATCCTTACGGAATCCAGCTTGTTGATCTCGAAGTTGGGCGTCTACTGCATCCTTCATCCGGTTCAGCAACAATCTGTTGAAGACTTTCCCTGGTATTGACAGTAGTGTTATGCCTCTGTAGTTTTCACATTTGCTCAGATCTCCTTTCTTTAGAATCTTGACGAGGTGTCCTTCTTTCCAGTCCATCGGCACTTGTTCCTCCTCCCAAATCTTTTTGAATAGAAGATAAAGCATGCTTGTGGTTGCTTCGATGTCTGATTTCAGTGCTTCAGCTGGTATGTTGTCGGGTCCCGCTCCCTTCCTGTTCTTGATTTGTCTGACGGCCATTCTAATTTCTTCCGTAGTTGGTGGATTGACATCTATAGGAAGATCTATGTGTGCTGCTTCGATGTTCGGTGGATTCATTGGAGCCGGTCTATTCAGGAGCTCTTCAAAGTATTCTACCCATCTGTTACGCTGTTGTTGAATTTCGGTGATTGGCTTGCCTTCTTTGTCTTTGACCGGCCTCTCTGGTTTATTGTATTTCCCTGCTAGTTTCTTCGTTGTGTCGTGAAGCTGTTTCATATTTCCTTCTCTAGCAGCTTTTTCTGCCGTCGTTGCTAGTTCTTCAACGTATTTCTTCTTGTCGGCTCTAATGCTCCTCTTCACTTGTTTGTTTGCTTCTATGTATTCAGCTTGTGCTTGGACTTTCTCTGCTCGTGTTCGGCTGTTGTTTATTGCTGCCTTCTTGTTCTTCCTTTCTTTGATCCTGTCCACTGTTTCTGTAGAGATCCATTCCTTATGATGGTATTTCTTTAGACCGAGAACCTCTTGACACGTTGAAGTTAATGCTTCCTTGATGCCTTTCCAGTTGTCCTCCATAGTAGTTTCTTCTTCTTTCAGTAGATCTCGTAAGGCTTGGAACCTGTTGTTGAGAGCTATCTTGAATTCATTGAGTTTGACAGTATCTCGAAGGAAGGCTGTATTGAACCTTTGTATTGCTGTTTGTCCATTTGTCCAGTTCTTTTTTAGCTTCAGTTTCAAATTGGTTACAACTAGGTGGTGATCTGAAGCTACGTCAGCACCTCTCCTGGTTCTCACATCTTCCATTGTCACAGGATGATTTTGACCCTTTCTTATATATTGGGACGATAAGTGATTGTGACCAGTTAGATGGAATAACGTCTAACTCCCAGATTTTAGCTAAAATATTAGTCAACCTAATTGCTAAAATTGGACCACCATCCTTAAAGACCTCTGGAGCCAATCCATCTGTTGACGGGGATCCACTCTAGCAGTGCTTGTTCCGCCCTCATGCTTAGTGCTATGCCTACACCTGCCAGTCCACGAGAACTGGCCATCGGGTCACCAGATACACGTAGGGTGTATCTCGTTGGCTCTCCGTTTTGCCGAGGTGAGGTCAAGTGAATGACCACACTGGAATCCTGTATGCGTGTTTCGGAGACAGCATACATCGATGGAAAGAGACTCTAGGGTTTTAGCCAAGGAAGCCTGTTGGGCGATTTGACATAGAGTGCGTACGTTGAAAGCTCCAATGTGTAGTTTGGAGCGAGGTTTCAGTAGTATCGTTGGCTATGGTGACACTTGAGGAGGTAGCCGAAGGAGGAAGTTTAGGGTTGAAAGTCGATATAGGAAGAATAATAGGAGTTGAAGAGGAAGGTTGATTATGAATACAGTGGTCTTGGGTGCTGTTAGAGGTATGAGGGCAGTTATCACTTCCCGGTTGCCCACACCGTGGAAGGGTTCTTCTGGAGGTACCTGAAAAGGAAATTGGATTAGAAGTCGTCTCAGTGACCTGAGAGCGTGACCGCAGTGCCCAAGGGACAACTGCTTGAGGCCGGTCGCGCACGGCCTTTTCGTGGGAGGTTTTTGACGTGTTAGCTCCGTTCTTCAAAGGGCTTTACCGCCGGAGACGGAAATCCGTGAGGTAAGGTGAGGTGCGCATTTTTAGGGTCGACCTTTTCTAACCCCACCCCTCCTTGTGGGAAGGCAGCATCGCTGTCATGCGGGTTGTCTGAAGGAAACACCTTACTGCTGTCACACCTCTGTACAGTCAGCAGTAGGACTTCGCCTTCGGACCTTGGGTTTGTTGCTTTTAGTCTTACCGCTCTTCAACCGACCTGTCTGACATGGTAGGACCTTGAGGAACGGTTGTTACAGCCAGTATAGCTTGGTTGCTTCATCACGATAGGCAAGCCCGACCACCACGTCAAGGTAGCAACAACGGTCGGGGAGCAACAACCATTGGAATAACTATTATGAATTTAATGTTCATCTTGTTGTGCTAATGGGGTATGACAACTTGGACTGATGCATATATGTGCCTGGTCTTATGTTGTAGCTGACTAACTGACTGAGTTCCAGTGTTAGGATAGGAGTAGAATACGGGAAGTTTATTGTCCTAACAAAGTTGCTTAATACCAATAGCTCAAAGGAGTTCGCTGACTTAAATAGGTACACCCGGGTAACGATCCATTATCTGACCAATGTTCTATGCAATAGACCGTTCAGTGGTGTACTTTCAAAAGATCGGTTTAACTTTAAAAAATGTCTGTTATTCTCTACTATTGACTTGCTTTTTATCAACACTAGATTTTATCCACCATACAAGTCATTACTCCAAGACAACAAGTAATACGCAAGATGTTGCTGCGTTCATATTTTAGTATAATATTGTTAATGAGTCTAAACAAATTGACAAGTATTCCCATCCGGCTACTTTAACTCTCAGGTTCTTGACTTCGAAATAATTTATTGCATTTTGTAAATGTATGGTTTAATCCCACCTCAGTCTAATTAAAGCAGTCAGGTTTTTACGCTTATGTCGTATTGTCACGAGCTTGCTATGGTGATTTATCCTTCTAAATGTTTTTTTAGAAACTCAGCAACTATGCGATTTCACTGTTGAGTTTCATCAAAACACAAGTATTTGATAAAACAAAATATGTAAATTGCCTTCGGAATTTCGCTCAATTCATTTTCAATAATGAGTCAGTTAATTTACTCGTAGATCAACTAGTGTACATATAAAGATAGTCGATCATAACTGTCGCTCATGAGATCCCATAGTTACTAAATCTGTAAAGTGAGTTACGGTTTTGACACTTATTCAAAAGTAGGGTTAGGCATTCCTATTAGATTGTCTCCGTACATAATGTTGCTATTATTGATCATCTATCTACATGTCATTGTGATACCTGGGTTTTATTCGTTTATCTTTTGATAATAGGATAGTAAGGTAATCTGTTCATGTATATTAGTAGTGGGATAGTTTGTCAGATATCAGGCTCGTCAAGCCAACTTTTCCTCATATATTTTTTTACTACAAAGCGTTGTTTATGTTTGTGCAATGTCTAGTAACCTCAGTGGGGTACACTCATAATTCTTTGTTTCTTTGGATTTTCAGAAATACAAGACGATGATCGCTAGTCGTACATCATCAGCACGAGAAATCGAAGAAGATCTTGAATAGAAGTATCTTAAATTGTTAATGTACAATCTGACTCCAAAAAATATATTAGTTTTTTATATTACTGGTTCTCAGTAGTAAGATGGTTTTTGGTTATAACCGGTTTGTTTTGATTTTTAGTTATTGCTAACTGGACTTATCATTGTTCTGGTGTTGCATAGATCACAAGCTGACTTAGACCCTTATGACATGTTCGGAGGGCTTCCCATGGACCAAGAACAAAGTGTGTCAGCGCTGCGGAGCACTGCTTCTTTTTTGGCTCCTAGTCCATCGAATTCTTTAGCTGCTAACCATCATCAAGAGCAGCACAAAATCCTTGTCCGAACTTTGTGGCGGAATATCAACCCAAGAAATTTACCAAGTATCCCATCAAAAACCCCAGTCAAAGTTCAATTGGAATTTGTATTGCAAGAGAAAGATATATATATATTAAACAAGTACTGTGATTTTAATAATGACTCTGAAAACCGTATATCACCTGATTTAATAAACAATATTTTTTCAGAAATTGTCCGCCCGGTCGCGATTTCTAATAATTCATATTTGTTTCAGTGGTTAACTAACGTACCGTCCTTCTGGATATTTTCATTGTCTTGTGCCATTGCTTTTGTCTGGTTGTTGATCATTTTCCGCTCTCGATACATATTCTACACGCTAATTCCGTGTGGGTTGTGTATCCTAATATTTTGTCAATCAGTTTACACAAAATACAATGCACGATTGGCTCGAAAAATGTCTGTCTTGTCTCGGCATAATGGTCCTCCTGATGACTGTAAACCTTTCCATCAACAAACTTGGCCACAGATGCTTAGTGCTTATTTCTCCTCTCGTCCAGCGAACGACGAATGTGCGCGTTACTATGAAGAAGTGCTGTCGGAACCGTTTCTATCCACCAGTTTATACGAAGTATGTCTGGAACTAATATGTCAACCAGTTATCTCATTATGTAAAATTTTGGGTATTGGGGTTGGACAATTATATCACAATTTGTCAGAATATGTCCCATTTTGGATTGCACCATTCATCTGTGCATTCTGTGTGTTCATGGGAGTTTTCGCTTTTGCTAAAATAATACACAGTTTTACTGGGCCGCAATCACGCAAACGCCGAGTGCGACATAAGATCAAATCATCATCAGTACCATCAATTACTTCTTGATGTACGTCTTGACTTTCCGATTTTACTTTGTATCTTACATCTTTCGGTGAATTGTGAGTAGTGAATTTGTATTTACTCTCATTTTTGTTCCAATAAATGATTGCTCAATTAGTTCATTTTACTGTATGAGTTTAGTTGAAACAAAAGAGACAGTTTTAGGTTTAATTGGTTCAGTTGTTTGTGTAGTGTGAGATAATTTTATATTAAACTACCAACAGGTACCTATCACGAACACTAAAATGTACTCTCGTCATCCTACGGACTAACGCATACTCTTGTAACTTGTACTTACTACCAGTTTTCTCACTTAAACAGTCATTATTAACGCTTCCAGCTCAGAGAATACTATCTAGAAATTCATAACGCCACACTTAAAACGATTTTTTCGTAACTTTCCATACTCTTTCAAATCGACTAACTGATCGAACTATCCAAGTCTTTAATTCTGTCATAATAAACCGGCATACAGGAGAAATTTTATTTGATATCGCTTGGTCCACATAAATAAGATTCAATTGTTACTCGTCATCATGTACTAGCCAACATTAAATGAAACAAAAAGGTGCTGGAGATGACCAGAGTGTAAGGTACTTTAAATCATGTGGTTTTAAACAGTTTCACTAGCGCAAATTGATGTACTTTTGTTCTTCAGAGTCTCAGACATTGTGGCTTTAGTGTTATTAAATTCGTCCGTTCAATTACTTGGTTCTTTAATGAAAGGGGATAGTTGTAGTCGTAGAGATTTAAACTATTGAAAGGATTTCAGCTTGCCTATGGGCTCATGTATTAATTTCTGAGAAAATAAATAGGTGCCAAATTAAACATTGGTTTTTGTTACTAACCCATACGTCATCAAAACAGTCCGAGGATTGTGCGGCAAACATTTCAGGGCATAGTGATTGATAAAAAATATCACTAAGCTCTTCGAGGACATTCGATGAGCGTCAAACTGGGCTAGATACTGGGTTGTACGTTTACGTTTCCAGAAGTAGCTCGTGTAACAAACCTAAATTTTCGTTTTTCAAAGTAAATTAGAGACTTGTTTGAAAAACAGAAATAAGATCATCTGGGTGATTGTAGATGACTTGGAACAAATTGTTCGATAAATATATTTAATATAAGCTTCATATATACAAGTGACTATAAGCACATTTGAAGGACAGGAGTTCATAACAATTGATGACTCATAAACTTAATTGACAAATATAACGATTGGTAATATAGGTTTTATGGATCACAGTTAATCCTGTTTAAATATTTCACAGATGTGTATTCCCATTATAGTTACAGTAACGCCAAAGCAGCTAACGACAGCCACATCAATACTAACATAGGGACTTGGTATTGAAGTTAGGTAGTTACGTTGTTCAATCAGCCAGAGTAATAATTATTAGCTTTATTCCATATTATATTTTCGGTACAATATACAATTCTCAGCACAAAGTATTTCGGCGAGTTTATTTTTTTATTTCTTGATCGGTATTGACCATAAATATTGAGCGATCGCCAGTTAGATGCATTTCAGAAATCGACATCTGAGTAATGTTTATCCTTATTGCCAGCAATCACGATGTCTCCGATTGTACATTTTTGTAACTGAATAGGTTATACAATTAATTGACATAATGATTTGTTAAAACAAACAATGAAACAGATAACTTGTTGAAATATCTAATTAGCGGGAACAGGTAGCTCAGATATTCAATCTAATCATCATATTATTTGAATAAAGCGAGGACAAATATCAAAGCAGAATAATATGTATTCAGTGAAATATTTCCGGGTGCTTATAACCTATCAACAGTAGCATTAATTTGAAGATGGCATCAGTCACACACTTATCTCAGTTGGAGAACCATTAATACCAGAGTACATTAAACAACTAGTCTGTTCTAATATGAAACCTCTTAGTAGTACGCACTCAACTCCTTCAGGGATCGAAACCAGAACTCGACGCGGATATAATTACTGCATATCGTATTAAAAGAAAAGATCTTGTAAATAAATATAAAGAAGTATATTGTTCTTACGGCCTACTATCTATTATAAATATTCGAGAAAAAATTCTAAAACACTTGGGGCTGGAGTGGACGTTATGTAAGGACAACTACAGGAAGGTACGACATAAGAATGAGGAAAAAGTACTCATAATTAAGAGCACGGAATAAGATATTACGGCATTAAATAATGGAAACCAAGTTTACCAAGATAGTATCCCATTGAGTGGATAAATCTAAATAAAATTTTCGGTAACGATGGTTTTGCGAAAACGAAAAAAGTCCTCAGTATGTTGATTATTTTGACGTCGTATCGACTCTCCAGTAAATTACGGGCGATCGCATTGTTGAAAATCTATCCTTTGAGCCCAAAACAGAAAATGTGCTCCGAGATTGGAACGGTATCACTTTTCTGTTCTCCCAATATGTTTACTTCTGTACTTATATGTAAACTGATAAACACTTGGACGCAACATTGAGGAACTACTACACTAGTGGAAATTTACACAGAGAGAAAACATTCCACAATCTCGATTCACATTGGCACTCACTTACTTACTCACTTACTTAACTACTCACACACTCACTCACAGTCCATCAATCCACAGAATTCAGTTCTCCTGTCAAAGCATTAACATGTGTCAAAGCTTACTTGTTGATCCATTGGTGGCACACTGACCACAACACCTTCTTGTCAATTAAAACAACCATTTCCATTCCTACAATCATCACAGAGACTACTGATTCCATTATTGCTCATTGCAAATTCATCACCTATCATCCACAGCAAGCCTTGTCCTCTAACTCTATCACAGGAAAGAAATAACCACACATTTGTATAGTTAACAATCAACAACAATATACTAACTAGTCGTTCAGTTACCCACCACTAACACTACCATCACCAACTCCAAATTCATTTCCAAATCCAACGAATCCTATCCCAGAGAGTATGGCCATTCTTACACCAAATACAACCGTCTATAACACAATTAATTCACACTAGTCTAAAACGAGAAATAAACACTCAGGCAACTAACACCCTACAATAATTAATACCATCATCTATTATATTATTATTACGCGTCAATATTTGTGACATACCTGATTGATTCTTTCGCGGTATAACACACACAGAAATACATACCTGTACACCAAACACCAAAATTCATTCAACGCCTACTCCTTCCATTTCTCCGTGATCATCACAACACCCAACACTCACTAGCCACATGAAAACCTAAATATCACTAGTGGAAATATACACAGAGAGAAAACATTCCACAATCTCGATTCACATTGGCACTCACTTACTTACTCACTTACTTAACTACTCACACACTCACTCACAGTCCATCAATCCACAGAATTCAGTTCTCCTGTCAAAGCATTAACATGTGTCAAAGCTTACTTGTTGATCCATTGGTGGCACACTGACCACAACACCTTCTTGTCAATTAAAACAACCATTTCCATTCCTACAATCATCACAGAGACTACTGATTCCATTATTGCTCATTGCAAATTCATCACCTATCATCCACAGCAAGCCTTGTCCTCTAACTCTATCACAGGAAAGAAATAACCACACATTTGCATAGTTAACAATCAACAACAATATACTAACTAGTCGTTCAGTTACCCACCACTAACACTACCATCACCAACTCCAAATTCATTTCCAAATCCAACGAATCCTATCCCAGAGAGTATGGCCATTCTTACACCAAATACAACCGTCTATAACACAATTAATTCACACTAGTCTAAAACGAGAAATAAACACTCAGGCAACTAACACCCTACAATAATTAATACCATCATCTATTATATTATTATTACGCGTCAATATTTGTGACATACCTGATTGATTCTTTCGCGGTATAACACACACAGAAATACATACCTGTACACCAAACACCAAAATTCATTCAACGCCTACTCCTTCCATTTCTCCGTGATCATCACAACACCCAACACTCACTAGC